ACAAAACATCCCAAGGATTTCAACTAGTAATGAGTAATGGAGAATTCATTTTTGATTACAGAAAAGGTATACCATGAATATATAGATGTATCCATATATTTAACTGGGGACTGATAAACTACGCATATTTGCTAAACTATGCATATGATTAATAAATATTTACTTCTCAGTGAGAACAGTAATACTGTTTCAGATAATTAATCCAAAACATGAGATTATTTCCAAACAGTTTGCCTTCAAAATTTGGTAGCAATCCTTGGGTCAAATAAAGAAGAGACTTTGGGTATTATGGAAGCAGCAGTCGTAACACATCTGGAGGGCTTCAGGTTGGGGAAAAATGGTCTAGATTGGAGGGCTTTTTTTAAAATTTGTACTTAGGTACACAATTATCACTGATAAATGGAGGCTAACAGATTGTTTTCTATTGTGCCCTTTCAGGCAAAGGTTAGCATTGGCAAGATATTTAAGTAGTATTGTAAGTTAATGATAAAAATTACTTCTTCCATAAAGCTTTCATATCTCTATAGGTAAATCAGGGCAAGAATAACTGTCTGAGAGTTGTCTAAACTTACTAAGAAAGAAAGATTTTAAATAGCACAAACATCAGTGTCTACAGCTGCCAACATTTGCATAACCATGAACTAAAGGACAAGACACACACACACAACAAAATTTATTAAATTAAAGTGAGATAGTGGGATATCAGAAAGCTAACATCTTCTCATTCAAGAACATAATTCACTGAATCAGGCACTGGCCTTACTTTATTCAGAAACGACCTATTCTTAACAAGCCAGTAAAGCTAACATTAGAGCTTCTGAAAATCTATGAAACCTTCCTTCCCAAAACTTTAGGCTGCTTATATAAAATAAATAACAACATCCTTTGCATGGGATTAGAGAATCATGAGTTCAGGGCTACAGAAATGTACCAAAGGTTATCAGAAATAGATTTAACTGACCACCTGGCAAATATTTAGATAAAGCCTCTTTGGTTAAAAAGTCAAATTGTTAATTATTGTGTCCAATATTTAAATGACAAAATTCTGTTTGCAAATCATATTATTTAAAGGATATATTCCTTTTATAGCCATTGATATTATTACAATGAAATCCGATGCATGGCTACTTGGAAATAAGTCATAGGAAGCTTAACAGGATTTATTCCCATATAGGACAGTAATCTTGAATGTTCGTAACTTTCTCTATGGAGCACTGAAAATGCCCAGTCCTAGCTTGGGGATCCATATATGTAAACGTGTAGATACACACTCCATATACAACCTTATATCAGGGTGGGTATTTTTCCTGGCTTTCATTTCCTATTTGTAGACTGTAAGTGTTCTTGGAAGTATATCGTGAGAGATGTTTCTTCCCTGTGTCAGATTAAGAGAACATAATTTTCTAATACTTCTGATCTCATTGTGTACTTTTTTCCAAAATAACGGCCATTGGGATGTAGAAATGCACATTATCAGGCATCACAAGGGCTACTTCACTGCCAATGGATGTGGAGGAAAGACTAATTACAAACAGATTTTTTCTTTTGGCCAAAGAATACATTTTTATAGTATTACAACTGAACAGCTGGCGCAGTTCTTCTATCTTAATAATTCTATCCAACCATTTGAAAAATAATTACTTTTACTAAAAAATGAAGCTATCGAAGATAGCACTCTGTTTTGTCCATGGTAAATGGTTTCTCTTTGCACAACAGTAATTCAGTCCACTGACACCTGGGTCTACTAAAATATTTGATGATACCCTATTTCTTTATATCTTGCCCTTGTTTTAATGTTCTCCAAGGAGCAGTATATACTTAGAAACAGCTTATTTTATGACCCTGGAAATTTAATGGAACACCTTATGTAACAGAGACATTGACTGTTCATGGTGTGGCTTTATTTCAGCTACTTCCCAAAAGCTATAGATAACTTCCTTCCTTTCTTCTGGTGCCTTCTTAACATATTTTTCTAATGTTTGGTTTTATAACTTTTAATGGTATTTATGTTTTTTAGTGTGTTGTAAGCTGCCCAGAGTCCCCCTCTGTGGGGAGATGGGCGGGGACTAAATA